CCTCCGCCTGCTGCCCAGCTGCCAGGCCTTTGTTGCAGCCTGGAGGGGAGGGGGGTCCACGAGCATCCCCATGGAGGACCGCGCTGAATGCCCCCTGCCCCGGGTCTGGCGCCGGAGCCGGTGACACCGGTGGCCAAAGCCCTGGGCTGGGCTTGGGGGAGGCCCAGCGTGGACGAGGCCCTTTCCCGTGCGGCCGGCGCTGCACCAAGGTGCTGCAGGCCTGGGGGGTTCACACCGGTGTGACGGGGCTGGGGGCTGCGTCAGGTCTCCGGGCAGCCTCGTGGCCGGGCGCTGGGAGCTGCTCAGGAAGTGCATCACGGTTCTCAGAACTGGGCTGTTTTTGCAACAGGAGCAGCACGTGCATGTGTGCGCCTGTGTGTGTGCAAGCACACTTTCCCTGCCAGCCCCCGACTGCCCCCGCCGTGAGCTGCTTGCTCCTGTCTGCCCGGGCAGGAGTCCGGGAGCGGAGCGGGGGTGCTGCAGGCTGGGTGTCGGGGAGACAGGGCGCCGGGAGGGCAACCATCTGACCAACTCACTGCCCTCCAGCCGCCCCTGGCTCTGGGCACATCCCTGGTATTGTTCAGCCTGCCTGGGGAGCCACCCAGGACCTGGTCCCCATGCCCACCCAGGCCCCCAGCCCTCGCCAGGCACAACAGTGCCAGGACAATGCCCTTGACCTCGCTCTCTGCGGAGATGGACCGGAGCAGTTGTCGGGGCTGGGGGGCGGGGGCCGCGCTCACAATAAGCCGTGACTCATGCCGGGAACAATTGAGGTGATGCAGGAAACCAGGGGTCACTTTTTCCGCGGGTCGGGTTTCCAGCTGGGCTGTGGGGCGCTGGCCGCCAGCCGCCGCGGAGGGGCGGAGGACGTGGTCCGGGCAGGCCGGGCTGGGACAGGTTGCCACGTCCTGCTCTGAGCCCTTCCCCGGGGAGGCCTGGCCTGGCACTGCCCCGAGCCTCTCCCAAGGCCGCGCAGGCAGTCGGTGGCAGAGCTGGGATTCGAACCCGAGCCTGGCACCTCTGCTCTGCACAGCGGGAGGCACTGGGGGTGGCGGGGCCTGGTGCACAGGACTCCTGGGTCCCCTTCCCAGCTCCTCTCCATGCCAGGGGGTGCTGCGGGCACCTCCTGGGGGTGTCGTGGCTCAGGGGGCCTGACACGGGTGAGGAGAGGAGGGTCAGCTCTGCCCAGCGGCCTCCAGCTCCCTCGGCTGCGCCTGCAGACCAGGCACGGGGGGCTGCGGCCGACGGCTGCCCCCCTCCGCCCCGCCAGAGGTGCAAGGCGGGCCAGGCCAGGCCTGAGGCCACTCACGGCCACGCCGCACGTGTGTTGCAGACAGGGCGCGTGGATAAGAACCACCCGCTGGTGACCGGGCACACGGCGCCCATCCTGGACATCGACTGGTGCCCGCACAACGACAACGTCATCGCCAGTGCCTCCGAGGACACCACCGTCATGGTAGGGGCAGGGGGAGCCGGGCAGGGCTGAGCGGGCTGCGCGCAGGGACCGGGGAGGGGCGAGGGGCGGCCGCGTGGCCCGGCCCTTCCCCTTTAAAATGCTGGAAGTGTCATGGGCTATTTTTAGTGCCGGTGCCATGTGTGCGCTGGCGCCTGCCGCCCTGTCCATGATGCAGCACTTTGTGCTAAATATACCCCGGGGGCGCGGGCACCTAAAAATAGCCGCAGGGGGGGCAGGGGCCTCTGGGACCGGGGAGGGGGGAGCTGGGGGTGTCTGGGCTGGCCCCCCATGCCACTTAGAGACCCCCCAGACCCACCGCTCACCCCCTCTCCTGCTGGTCCCCCAAGGCCACCCAGTGCTTGCCCCCTTCCAGCCGGCCCTGCCACGGGGGTCTCAGCCCCAGCCCCCCGGGGCCCTGGCTGCTGCAGCAATGCCTCGATGCCCACGGTGGGCAGCTGCGTGGCACTGCTCCCCAGGGCTGCGCTGCCCCTGCACCCTCTCCGGGAGGGCGCACAGGCATGGGCCAGGGCCTTAACCGGGGGGGCTCAGTGGCTCTTGGAGCCGCCCACCCCCCCACACGGCTCCTTGTGCTGGCGAGGTCTCACCGCCCGCCCTGCGCCCCAGGTCTGGCAGATCCCCGATTACGTGCCCATGCGCAACATGACGGAGCCCGTGGTCACGCTCGAAGGGCACTCGAAGCGCGTGGGCATCCTCACCTGGCACCCCACTGCCCGCAACGTGCTGCTCAGCGCAGGTAGGGCCCCGTCACGGGCCACGGCTGGGGGGGCGGGTGTCTCCAGGGCCCAGGCCAGCCCCAGCCTCCCGGCAGACCCACCCGTTTGTCTCCAGGGCCCGGGCCAGCCCCAGCCTCCCGGCAGACCCACCCCGGCGTGCCATCCCCCGGCCCAGGTGGCGACAACCTGGTGATCCTGTGGAACGTGGGCACGGGCGAGATGCTGCTGCGGCTGGACGAGGTGCACACCGACCTCATCTACAACGCCTGCTGGAACCGCAACGGCAGCCTGCTCGTCACCACCTGCAAGGACAAGCGCGTGCGCGTCATCGACCCCCGCAAGCAGCAGGTCGTGGCGGTGAGTCCTGGGCACGCGCGTGGCTTACCGCAGCCGCCCCCGCCTTCCCCGGGCACCCCCGGAGCTGGCGTCCCTGGGCTCTGTCCGTTCCCAGCTGCCCTCTCAGAGCAAGTGTCACCCCGGGGAGCTGGGAAGATGCCCACTGGCGAGGCTGATGCCTCAGGGCACCGTGGCCGTGACACAGGCGTGGCCCCCTTGGAGACTGGACCAGCCCATGGCTCCACTCCTCCCTCCCCCCGCCCATGCATCCGTGGTGCTGGGAGGCTTCGCTCCCATCCATGCCCACCGGTACCGGCCCATCCTAAGCCCTGCATGGCTGCCCTGGCACCCACCGCCGCCCCGGCCTGGCCTTGGAGCATGAGCCCTGCACCGCTGGACGAGCCCAGCAATCCCTGAGCATGGAGACGTGGTCCTCAAAGGGGTACGACGGGCATCCCTGGGCGCGGGCACAGCTGACCTCGCACTAACCGCTGCCCGCGTGTCTGTCTGGTTTGACCCCACTAACCGCCGGCGCCAGGAGAAATCCAAGCCGCACCAAGGCGCCCGCCCCGTCCGCGCCATCTTCATGGCCGATGGCAAGATCTTCACCACCGGCTTCAGCAAGATGAGCGAGCGGCAGCTGGCGCTCTGGGACCTGGTACGGCGCGGTGCTGCCCGGCTCTGGACGCTGCCGCGTGCCGCAGGGCCCGGACGCCTGGGTCCTACGAGAGGAGGGAGTGCTCGCGGGTACACGGGAGCGTTGCAGACTCAGGGCCCATCCGTGCGCCGCGTCCTGGGCACCCGCGCTAACCCTCTTCCCCCCCCAGGAGAGGTTTGCGCCCCACGAAGGGATGCGGCCCCTGCGGGCCATCTTCACGCGGGAAGGCTACATCTTTACCACGGGCTTTACCCGGATGAGCCAGCGGGAGCTGGGCTTGTGGGACCCGGTAACGCTGCCGCGCGGGAGGGCTCGGCCTGGGAACTTGGGCATCGCGGCTTCCCCCGCCCGGCACCGGCGGCGCTGCCCGTGGTCTGCCCATGCCGCTCCAGCCCCTCCTGGTAGGGCCCCCGAGGGCCGGCTCTGCCGTCTTCTCACCCTCCCATCGGGCTGGCGCCAGCAGGTCCCAGCTCGCGGGCGATGCTCCCTAAAGCTGAGGGCTCCCTGACCCCGGTAGCTGGAGCCCAGGCCCCGTGGCCAGGGCAGCAGGCGGGCTCCAGGCCCGTGTGGCCTCGGGGCAGCCTGTGCCCCGCGTTGTGGGCGCAGCCGGGCAACGCCCCCCCCAGC